TTCTCTCCCAATTATATGCTTTGGAAAACATCCTGTGGTCAGATGAAAGCCGATTAGGCAGAAATAGTTTGAATCCTAAGAGCAGTACATTTTTTTCCCCTTATTTTCTTGCCTTCAGCATTACATAAAATAGGTTTGCTTTACCCCCTGAGTTTTCATTTGGGGTGAATGTGTCAGTAGGGTGGGTAATGAGCTCTGCACGGATTCCAGACTCATTAGAGTTTGCCTCCTTTGTTGTTGATTTGACGCTAACATTCTTTCTTTGATATTACCTTTGCTCCATGGGAGTTCGGTGACCACATTTCTTTCTGGAAGAGTCCTAATACCATCAGCTGACAGATAATTATCTTTCACATCAATACCTCCTCCTAGAAATTCCTGAAGAGCAGCTGCAATATGGTTGAATGGCTGCGTGATTATTTTCCATGTTCCGGGGTAATTGCAAAGCAGTTGATAGCAAATTGCTTATGACCATTAGTTGGGAAGCCTTTTACCATCTAACCTATTAAATTCACACTAATAGTTAAATATAAAGTTTTCTCGAACTGCAAAGAAAAAGCAGCAGCAAGAAAATTCAAAACGTATTTGTACCTGTTACTTAAACGAAGGATAGATGTGTATACACCTTACAACCCAGCAGTTGTAGTCCTAGGAACACCCGACAGAAACACATTTGTGTGTTCATCCAAAGCATATCCAAGAATGTTCTCAGTGACATGCTTCATTAAAAAGAAAAAAAAAAAGTCCAATTTGGAAACATCACAAATGTCTATCAGTAGTAGAATGGATAGATCATGACATTTTTCATCCAGTGGAATATTTAATATTGAGGAGGAACACACAGCCACATGATGGAATCTCACAAAATGCTGGGCCAACAAAACTAAACATGGGAGTGAGCACCATGAATCCACTGATTTAGAGCTCAAAAATACCCAGAACTAAGGTATGATGTTTTAGACTCATAGTCACCCTTGAAACATGGAGGTGGTTGTGACTAGAAAATAGCTCATGTCACAGACTTTGTTTCTTCATCTGCGTGCTGGTTCACTTGAAATGTAATTGAGCTGGAAAATTCTGATCCATGCACTTCTTTGAATGTGTGTGATGTTTAATTTTATGTAAAGAACTTAATTCTGACAACTTTAGAACTTAGTTGTCACCGTGGTTTCTGAGGGTGGGTTTTTATAATAGATAACTCTCAAATCATCTATTAATAATTCTCAGCATTATAACCACATTATAACCATTCATTCCTAACTAAAACTATAGCAGAATTATTTGGAGAGTTCTAAGAGATGGTGGTTAACCAAAGGTGAGGCAGGATCTGAGCAGGTGCAGGTGATGAGGACGTTGTTTGTCTCTAGGGAAGTTAAAAACAATGGCAGAAGCATCACCAAATAAAAAGGCTCCCTTTTTATTCTCACCATGTACCCGCAGTTCTAAATGATGTCATGGATAAAATAGTCCTAAAAAGACTATCCCTTCTTGGTCTAAGTCATAAATAATTGGCTAAGTTGGTGTTGGAGTTTTTATTTTACATATGCATTTTTACAACATACATGCTTCCAACGAGCACACACACCACTTGTCCATTATATTACTTATCCTTTAGTAATAGGGACACAGCATGGGATTCATTTGCAGAGTAAGTTCTTAACAATTCGAGTCAGTTGAACCTGCTTTGGGTTCTGCAATCACACCATGCTCTTTTTTTCATGGGCTCAGTTAAACGTGAGCAGCCACAGCACAGCAGTGAAAGCGTGGAACTGGAGTTGCTTCAGTTCTCTCATTCTTCATTTCTTCTTCATTTTTCGAGGCTTTGTGTTTAAAATTTTAAGCAGCTGAAGTAGCTGTTAAAAAAAAAAAAAGGTTGAAAGAGCGAGATTTTCTAGCCCACCATTCCTGCTTAACATGAACTTCTTCCTTCACATTGTTGGAGAACATCCTAAACATTCACCAGCAGAGCATGTGTTAAATTATGGTGTGTCTGTGCTGTGGAACAGTATGCAGCCCCTAGAAACTGTTTCTTACAAAATATTAACACTAACTTTTTTTTTTTATCAGTAGAGAGTACTAAGATAGTTACTTTTTAAAAAGCAAGATTTCAAAGTGTGACTACAATTATGTTATTTGTGCAAAAAAAGAAAAAAGTACATATGTGGACATCTGCTAAATAGTTCTAAATGGACATTTGAGAAACACTAGTTACTCCTGTTAAGGTTGACGAGTTCATGAGTAGAAATGTAACTGCACACCATTTTTACAGTTTTTCTCTACTTAATATGCACTTAATTTGACTTTTTTAAAAGACCTGAAACTTTTTGGCCTAAATTACACCAGAGTAGTAAGAGCATAATCCTCTCTTGTGCACGCATGCAGATGCACACATGCAGAACCTCACTAATATCCCTCCACTGCAGAATGCGGGAGCTGGAAGCAGAGCAAGGCAAGAGCCTCTCTTGAAGGCCTGCTTTAATGCATGCCACTCACAGGTGCCATGTGGGAAGCTTGAGAGCTGATGCCAGTGTCCAGAGCGCCTGTGTGCCTAGGATGCTTCCCTGGCCTTTCTGTCCTGGAGGCTGGAGCACCTGCAGCCTTGGGAAGCTTAGATGCAGATCTCAGCTTGCATCAGTTCCCACCAAGCAGCTGCTCTGTGGAGCCAAATGTTAAAACCTTGGACGTAAGAAAAAATGCACCTCTGGGTATTTTATTTGTTTATGATTGATGCCTCCTATAATTCCAAAGAATAAAATGTGAGAAAGTTCACTCCCTGAATGGATAGTATAAAACTGGACCAAGGGGAAGTGAAAGCAGATTAGAAATCAGTAAAAGGAGCTGTATGGGGTTGCCAGCTACTGCAAGTACCTAGGACAAGGTAATTGCTGAACACTGGATTTGGCTTTGGATTCCTGGCTTGAAAAGTGAAGGGGGAAATGTAGAATGTATGCTTCTCTTTATTTGAAGTCAGAAAATAGGAAATGTTGCCTATGCGAATGAACATTTTCCTAATATTCAATTCAGAAAGGAAATCCAAATGTATATTTTGTTGAACACATATATGACTTAGGTGTCCGTAGTGGTTGGAACCTACCCAAGTATTAAAATCAGCTGGTCACAATGTGCTAAACCTCACAAAATATAAAATCCCATTTGAGTATTGAACCTGCCCACCTCTGTCTCAACAGGTCATGATACCGTGTGTATTACCATCTCATTCGGGGGCAGTTGTGTCCCCCTCTGTCTGCACTCACTCTTGCTTTGTCTCCCATCTTCTCCAAGCTGTGGTCGGAGGTGCCTCTTGGATCTTGGCACTGCTCCCACCCCATCTGCTCCACTCCCTGGTGCCTTTGGTCTGAGGATATAAGTCCCCAGCCCTCCCATTCTCTCCTTCGCTGTCTCTGTCCCACCCTCCCCCCCCCCTTTTTTTAAATTTTTTAAGTCCTTCTTTCTGGGTGTGTACCCTCCCAAGACCTTTTTCTCTCACCTAACCATGTCTTCTTTCTTTGGATCCCAGCTGCCTCAGAGGGTCAGAGCCTTTCTGACCCCTAGGGGACCTCTACTGTTTATTTCCATGTCCCTCGGTACCCCTCTCAGTGGGGGCTTCTCTCTGTTATGATGCCGTCCTTGCTAAATCACAAGCCCCAGGAGAGGAAGCACTAGCCCTGGCCCAGCTTTTGATCCAGGGCCTGGTGTGTAGCAGGGAGCTGGTAGGTGTTTGGTTGGAGGGACCCATTTCTCAGTGACTGCCTTGGTCTGTTCTTGGCTTGCTGCATCCTCAGATTTGGGGAGAGGAACAGGTGCAAAAGCCAACTCCTGGAGCCCCCCAACCCCTCTTTGGAGGTACTGGGGATTGAACCCAGGGCCTTGTGTATGCAAGGCAAGCATATTACCAACTGAGCTATATCCCCAACCCTCCTGAAGGCCCTTTTAGACTGCATTCATCCATTCATGAGGGCAGGATCCTAAACACCTCCCAGAAGAACCCACATTGTTGCCTTGGAGATTTAAGTACCCAACCCACAAATGTTGGGGCACACATTCAGATCATAGCAGTGGTCTGAACACTTCAGCAGCCTTTTCCAGTGCATATTTTATCCTGCTAAGATACTATTCTCTGAAGCACAGCTCTAATCTCTTTGCTTCTTGACATCAAAACTTTCCCCGGTCCCCATTTCCTACAGGATACAACCCACACTCCTTATTTAGCTCTCTATGACTGGGGCCCAAGTTACATTTCCAAATGCCTCTCCCCCAGTCCCCTTAGTCTTTACACCATAGCTGTAATGAAGCATCCTTCCCTCATCTAGCTGTCTCTTCACTAAGACTTGGCTAAAAGCAGTGCTTTTCATTGTCTGAGCTCTGAGTGCCTTTGACATGGTATTTGTTTTCTGTTTGCATGGTAACTAATTTATGTGCCTATCTTCCATGTTAGGTTGCGACCAAGTCCAATCTAGCATCCAGTATGAACCTCATACAGTAGGTACTTACTAACGGTGTGGTAAATGAATGGCAGTTATTTAGCATCTTTGTAAATCAGCCATTTGTAGGAACTGTTTCCCCTCCAGATGCCGTATTTCTTTTAAAGTTTCTGTTTAACATATATAACAAATGGCTAGTCAGCTGCAGAGTCTCCTGTTCTTTTAAATCTCTCTGAAGACTAGTGAATATGAGTCTAATTTATGTCCCACTCTCTGTACACATTTCAGAGACTGCTAATCTTATCTTTGGTTGCAAAGGCACAGTGTAATTCTGATACCGAATGCAAGAAAGCAACACAGAATGGAAACATATAGCATGGGCCTTTCCAGGGAAGATGCCCAGATTAGCACCCTCCACAAAGTGACTGCTGGGCATTGGCCTTGTTTCTAGAAGATCATCTTTTCCACGTGGCTCTCCCCTGGGCTCAGTCACTGATGGCCTTGCCTTGGCATTGCTGTCTCAGTAGTGAGACTCCTGGGATGAGAGAATAACCCCGCCCCCCATTTCCTTTCCTACAGGCCGACTTAAACTGCAATATCCAAGATGATGCCGGGGCTTTTTATGGTGTAACCAGCCAGTATGAGAGTTCTGAAAACATGACAGTCACCTGTTCCACCAAAGTGTGCTCCTTTGGGAAGCAAGTAGTAGAAAAAGTAGAGGTAAGTTGGTCTCTGGTGACCAGAAACTTCACTCAAGGGAAGCCCATTGCCTTCTTCAGTCTTTCATGGGGACAGAGAATTGTGCTTTTTTATTTTTATTTTTATTTTTTTTGTGGTGCTGGAGATCAAACCCAGGGCCTTGTACGTGCGGACCAAGCACTCTACCAACTGAGCTATATCCCCAGCCCCAAGTTGTGCTTTTTTTGATGTCTCCTCCTTTCCCTCCCACTTCTTCTCCTTTTCTCTATTACTATGAAAGGCAAAATGATTTGGGAGCAACTGAAAGCAAGTAGGAAGTCTGGTGACAGCCCTCTGTGTCTGAAGCTAGCGCTACTCACTTTGGTGTGCAGCCTCCTGGGGTCCCCGGGAATGTTGGGTTGAGCCAGGCTCTCCCAGCCCACTCCGGGCCCAGGGCACTCCCAGCATTGTGCATAACAGTCAGGTTGGCTTTTAGCTGATTGGCATGTCTCTTATAAAATCCTGACACCTGATGCTTTTACTATTTCCACTCCCTTTATTTTAATTGCTTTTACTATATTTCATTTTATATTAGGACCAAATATCCACTTACAGCTTTTATACTTCTTGCCTCACTCCCTTTAAACAAATGTTTGTTTTATCCAGGTGATCTGTTTCGCAGTTGACTTACCTTTTGAAGTTCTCCTTTCCCAGGCCTTTCACCCTCCTCAAATTGGTCCATGTTTAGTAAATAGTTTTTATTTGCAGCAGATCTGGACCTCTCAGGTCCAGGAGCCCAATCTGGCTGACAAAGACTCTGTGTTGCAGGGTGAGCAAGGATGCCTTGTCGAGTCAGGATGAGAGTCAAAGGTCACTCTCACATTTTGTGCTTGCTGTTAGGTAGAGATAAGGATACAAGGTATTCAGGAGGATTTAGGGGAGGGTTATAGATGCAACAGGTAAAGACTGGAAATCTCAATTGGGAATCCTGAGTATTAAGGCTAATTAGAGCTGTGGAAATGGAGAACTAGCCACCTGAAGGGAATAACAAGACATCAGGATGAGGATTAAGTTTGAGCAGCAGCAGCCAGTCCTGGGGCAAGTAGCAGGGAGGCATAAGCAGCAGAGCAGGGATCAGAGATCATAAACAGAATGAAGAGGCAGGGCAGGGGCTCAGCACGATGCCTGGGAAGCCCAAGGAGAGGGGAAGAAAGAGGCTGTATAATAAGACAGGACTGGGAGACCC